TACGGAAATTTACCAAAAGGGACCTATGCAACTTATCACATTTAGCAAACTGTATAATTTCATATTTTTAAGTTTTATGGTAAAAAATCGGATCTACTCATAAATCTCTATGAGAAACAAAATAAAGAAAAAGAAATTAAACGTAAAAATTACAATAAAATTGGCAAATTTGACAAATATTTAGCACAAATATCAGCCACTGTTTTCGGCCAATAATTTTCTATGTTATTTGACTTTAGTGGCTAAGTTTAAGACCGATTCTACGTAAAAACCAAATAACTCGAAGGACACCAAGTTTGAAATACCTAATCTGAAATTTAAATGAGGGTGTGATTTTACTGTGTGTTGTGGTTCAATAAATCTTTTATTGCAACCGGAGGACTAATTTTTATTGCCTTGGACCCGATGCTGAGGGCTGTTTAAATTAAAGAGCCGGTATGGTATGTGCAGATGTGGTGAAACTGACCGTGCTCGGCCGCCGCTTTGAGCGTAGCTTCTGAGTGACTCGATCCGAAGGGGTTCCTGACGAAGCGACGTCGCCTCCTTAAATCGTCCTCCCAGTAGTCCAGGCGCCAGAACTCCCTGAGCCGGCTGCAGCGAGACAGAGGTAGCACATGTGTTAGCAATTACTAGTCAGCATGGTACAGCAGCCCGGCATTAGCACTTAGTCCGAGCAAGCATATATAAAGCCTGCATTGTGTTTGGAGTTTCTCTCTTGCTTTACTTTTTAGTTATTTTTTTTAAAACCCTCTGAATCTCTTTTCAAATGTACACATACTGAGACCTGGGACATTGTACCTCTGCTCCTGACAATGACTTTTCCATCTCAGAGGTAAAGGTGTTTCCTCTTTTGCCCACTCATCCACCTAAAATCCCTTTTTGTTTGTCGAGGAAATGATCAGAGTGAAAGAGCACCATCACAGTTGAGTGAACACATGACACCGGGATCATTTTCTACATGTTTGTGGCACGTGCTTACATTCTGGTCTCGTTTAAACCCAGCAGGTTACATCTTGTCAGGACCCATGGCTAGCAGGATAAGGAAAGAGCAATTACAACCACAGAGGAGGGGGGGGTGGATAGCATTACTAATACTAATCAATGTCTACAGTGCACATTTTTCTTTTCCATTTACATCTCCCTTCACTAGAGCAGGTCATCACTTAGATTTGAGGGGGGGGGGGTATTTTTTTATATTTAAAGATGCATTGTTACCACCTATAATAAAATATCAGCCAACTTTATAGTATTTATCAATAGTGTTTGAGTTTAAAGTGGAAAAAAGGCTTATTTTTTATTTTAAATGGCCAAATTGCACATCTATACATTTAATAGTTAAGCTGCATAAAATGTTTATGACTCAGAGTGGAGAAAAGAAACATTTTTACGAGTCTTTAACAAAACTAAATCCAACCTGTCTCGTGGTGAATAGGTTTTACTTGAATTAAATTCTGTGAGAGAAACGCTTTAAGACATAAAATCGTTGTCCCTTGGGGGCCTCGTCTGCAGATGTTAAAGAAACGCCGAGATATGCATCAATTTATGTTTTCATATTTCATATCTGTTAGTGTTTATAGACTTTTAATGTTGCATTTTTGTAAGGAACCAAGTCATCTGTTCATCGTGATTTCCAGAGGACAGAAATGTATGGCTTCATGCAGGAGAATGAAGGATCCAAAAGGTTTTACTGTACGTATATTTGTGTATGTACATACAATTACAGTTGTTTCAGTACACTTCCTTTCAGTATAAAAGCTCCAGTCTTTAATATGCAAGGCACCTGGTGTTATACTTGCAGTTTAGATGCATTTGTGCAGTAAACATACTGCAAAAATCTTCCTGTTTGTGTCATGTATACAAAAATGAAAATAACTTCCACCAATCAGATGGATACAATTCTTTTTACATGTCAAGATAAATATCCACAAAGTAAACCCATGTAGGATCTTTTTTCCCCTCATTTAGCAGACTACCTTATGCATGTATGACAATTCCTAAAGTAAAAAAAAATAATAATTTGTAAATTTTTTTACAATGTAATAAACAAAAATTCACACATAGCTAAGAACTGTTGAGCAGGAAATGTTAGGTTGAAACAGAAACTCTACTTGTTGAGCAGAAGTTTTGTAAAAATAAAAGTTGTGTACTTTTGAATGCCAAGCTGTCTAAGGTTTTCCACCATTGTGCTTGATCCACAATATTTCTCCTTGATCAATGTCATTTCCTCTGTTCTTTGGTGTTTAGCGGCTGACTCACTCTCATATTTCCACCTAAATGTCTTCTTTGAGATTCTGTTTGTCCAATTCTGACATACTTGTTTACCTAATGTCAGTCTGTCATGTGACTCAAGCTTCCACACGTTTTCAGCACATTGTGTTAATTGCTTTGTTTACAGGAAGTGTGAACCCACGTTTCAGAATTAAAAGTCTGGAAAACTATGGGTAAATGCTTTCAAACTGCACTACAGTTCAGGACAGCCATTTTTGATTGATTTCAAACTTTGCATCGAGCAGCGTTAAATCCAATAAACCTCACAAAATATTGTCAGTTATCGATACCAAAACAAGACTGGAAAAAAAAGAAGGGTTTAATGATTTATAAGCTAAATATAAAAACAAGACCTTAAGTGGCTGCAGTGTATCCTGGGAAGGTGGACGTTTTAGGAAGACAGTTTATGGTTTCAGTGGCATAGGCTCTGACGGGAGAACCCCAGCATACTTTATGTGATCTGCTCTTGAATGCCGCTCTGGCCGGAGGCTCCTCGCAAATCTTCAGTCCAACACCAATGATCACACAGGGGCCTCTAAAAGGGAAAGGAGCCTTACACGAGAAAATAAATACAAATTCCAAGCGGGTCCTTTCAAACCCTGTACGCCCTTGCTAATGAAAGACTTTTGTTTGTTTGTTTTACTCAAAAAGAAAAAAAATGTATAGGTCTTCTGGACGGGTTCTTCTCTAATGAAACGTTTCGTCTCTCCTCCAGGAGACTTCTTCAGTCTGAGAGTTTCGGGCAAAATTTGTTTTACTCAATGGGATTTAAAAAAAAAGGAATCTCAAAATGTTGGACTAATGGTAGAGAATGAACAATCCAAGAACAGAGAATTACTGTATAATTGTAAAACGTGAGAGAAAAATGGGGTCTAGGACAAAGATCTGTGCAGGACCGAATTTCTGTCCGCTGCCAAAGACCACACTCTATGTTTGCTCGCGATAGTCTCTAAATGCAAATGGCCACTTCATCATTCTGCCTGGAATGGTATTCATCTATGAAAATAATTATCAAGGTTGTGCACGATGCGTGGCTCAGAATCAGGGTGCGCTCGTCCCTCGTCTCACGGAAGGTGGGGAACTGTCCGAGGTGCACAATACACAACAATCCATCAGGAAGGAAAACCATTGCTCGGAGTAATTAGTCGCAGCATGGGTGAAGGGGGGAGGTGGTGATAGTGAGACGGGGAGGAATCACCTCTGCCAGTTATATTCACCCAGCTCGCCGTGAACCGACGCCGCTGGAAGTCCTAATGATGAGGTGCCAGAGAAGGTGGCCGACGATGAGAGATACGTCGTCATCAATCCCTGATGAGGGTGCCGCCATAAAAAGAATCTACGGCGCGATGCGAGCCCCCCTCCTCTTCCTCGTGCCGTGCACTGAGTGTGTTTCTACAAAGATAATAAATTATTCAGAGGCCATCCATCCTCCCAGGGCATCCATGGTAGGATTTACTGAAGCACTATTCTTCAAAATAACAACAATTAAAATAACAAAAGGGCCAGGGTTGTGCTATGGCTCACGCCAGCCACTTGTGTAATTAGTAATTAGTTCGGTCATAAAGGGCGTCTGGAAGGCCCACCTGATAAGCTCAGTGACTGTTCATAAAATCGGCGAAGGGCGCAAATGAACTAAGTTATGGTTGATTTTTTTGTTTTAGTAATGTAAAGCGTTTCTTTTTTTGTTTGTTTGTCAGTTTTGTTTTTATCCACTAAACCATAGAACAGACAAACATTTAGACCAGAGGAACTTTATGTAAACAGCAAAAATATTTACTCCGTTTCCTTTTAAGATCTTTTATTGTTGTTGTTTGGACCTTTTAGTTGTTAAAGTTTATTATAATAGAAAATAGAATAGTATAGATAGATAAAAAATTACAAGAGCCCACATTTGTTTTATGTGACTTTCCTACACTTATTTAGTTATTTCCTTGTGCATGCAAACTAAACTAATAACACGTCTGTATAATTGTTTCTTAAAGACGACCTTTCTAGGATTTCATTCAAGTAGATCTGAAGTGATCAAAAACATCTGAATGGCGAGAAGTGTTTAATATAAACCGTTTTTTGATTTATCAAAATATAGATTTTAAAAAGAAAAAAAGTAAAAAAATGAAAAACTAAGCAAGTTACTATAACTACGTCCTCAACAGTAGTCTGGCAGGAAGGAGGTGTATTTGAGGACTATTATGGTATAATACCCAACAATGATTACATGTGTACAAATGATTTTAATACATTAATTTGTTTTTCTTCAAATCTCAACTATAATAATTAAAGAGTGACCACTGTTCTGCAGTGGAAGGTCTAAGTTTTTGGACTAGTTTATTTTTAAATATAATTATTCACCAGAATATAAAAAGGTATTCAGATCTCTGCTAAGGTTTGCCTCTTTTTTCTTTGTCTTCGGACTGAAGTAGAGACCTTAATAGATCTGCCAAATAAGCACCGATGACATGTTTTCATTTTACTCTAATAACATATTTTCTTGATTTTGCATATAAAATTGTATTACTTTATTTAGTTAAACTGTAAAGCATTTTGGCAAACTTTGAACGACTAGACATATACGAACATCCCCAGACTTTGTTTGTTGAATTATGTGTGGTTATAATGTTGTGGCTAATCATGTTTTCACCTCATCTGATAACATGCACATAATAACATGAACTTTATCATAGAAAGCAGGACATGCAGACTGGATGTGCTTTCATATATCACTGGAAGCGGCTGCACTTTGGCACAAAGAGTCATTCATAACCTTTCTGCTACATTTATTGGGGTACAGTCAATGAGACCTGCATATGCGCTGGAGATTTCACTCCGCTGCTTATTTTTTTATTAATGCCAGTTTCTATTGGCAGACCTCAAATTGCTCAAACATTGCTGCTATCCTCGAGATAATTTTGCTTTGATTTGCATAAACCATGTGTTTAGAAGAAAGGCGCGCGGCGGCAGATTGGGGATTTGTCATGTTGAGGAGCGGCTGCTGCTCGAGTGCTGGCTCTTTGTCAAACCGTGGCAGCCATGGCTTCCATGCGATCTCCAGGCTCAAATTAAAATGAAACCGCACCAAATACCTTCTCACCGAAATGGGTCTGGCATGATTAAGATGTGCCAAGGTGATTTTCCACTTGTGCGCTAATGCCCATCTCTCCGATGAGGAGTGTGGAAGCCCATCTACATTTGTTAATTCACCTCAGCTAATGTTGTTTACAAGATTTACCAGAGGTGATCCCAGGGTCACAGAGATGAAAATATTCCCATCTTATCCCTGTGAATGACAACCTTATTATTAATCAGAGAATCCACTAATTTAATGA